AAATGGAGAAAAGATTGAAATTGTCAACAATTTCATATTATTTGGATCCACAATCAACATCCATGGAAACAGCAGTCAAGAAATCAGACATCATACTGCACTGGGCAAGTCTACTACAAAAGACCTCTTTAAAGCTCTGAAGAGCAAAGATGTCTCTTTGAAGACTAAAGTGTGTCTAACCCAAGCCATGGTATTTTTCAATAGCTTCATATGCATGCTGATAGTTGGACCATGTATTAGGAAGACCAAGAAGAGTTGATGCTTTTGAGTTGTGGTGTTGGAGAAGAATACTGAAAGTAACATGGACTGCCAGGAGAACAAACAAATCTATCCTAGAAGAAGTAGCCAGAATGCTCCTTGGAAATGAGAATGGCTAGACTTCGTTTCACTTACTTTGCTCATGTTGTCAGATGGGACCATTCCCTGGAGAAGGATATCATGCTTGGTAAAGTGGAAGGTCAGCGAAAAAAGGGGAAAGCCCTCAACAAGATGGATTGACATGATGGATGTAATAATGATGGGCTCAGCTATAGCAAGTATTGTGAGGATGGCACATGACCAGGCAGCATTTAGTTCTGTTGGACATAGGGTCACTATTAGTCAGAGATGACTTAATGGCACCTAACAAACACGACAATATTCCCCTCCCCGATTTTTAAAAAAATGTTTTTTCTCTGCATAGACACACATAATAGCTCAGCCTGTGCACCCATTCTTCCACACGTATATCAATGTTTGACTTCACTGACAATTAAGTACTGTGTGTGCAAAAGGGTTCATCTTTGTTGTCTCTAACTCTCATCCATTCTCTATGTCTTCCTCTTCCTCAAAGCCACGGTGTTGATCACTCACATTTGGTACATTGCCCGTCTCTTCATCCAAATAAATACTTGTCTCTACCTATCTAACAGGGTTCCTTCCCCTCCCTCCTATCCCTGGTAACCAACAAAGAAAAGTTCCTTCCATATATAAACCTTTCCTGGACTTTTTACAACAGAACACTAATACAATATTTATCCTTCTGTGATTGATTTATTTCACTTAGCATAATGTCCTCCAAGGTCATCCACATTATGTGGTGTTTTGCAGATTCTACATTATTCTTTAGGGCTGCATAGTATTCCATTGTGTGTATTTACCATAGTTAGGTTATCCGTTCTCCAGTTGATGGACACCTAGATTGTTTCCATCTTTTGGCTATTGTAAATAGTGCTGCAATGAACATGTTTATACATATATCTGTTCTTGTCCTGGCTCTCACTTCTTTAGGATATATACCTAGTAATGGAATGGGTAGGTCGAATGGTATTTCTAATTTCAATTTTTTTAAGAAATCACCATAATGCTTTCCACAGTGGTTGTATCATTTGAGAGTCTCAGTCTCTCCGCATCATCACCAGCACTTGTTATTTTCTCTCTTGTTGAAATTTGCTACTAGTGCTGGGGCAAGATAGTATCTCATTGTTGGTTTGATTTGCATCTCTCTAATGGCTAGTGATCATGAGCATTTCTTCATATGTTTGTTGGCTGCCTGAATATCCTCTTTGGTGAAGTGTCTATTCATGTCTTCTGCACATTTTTGAATTGGATTATTTGTCTTTTTGTGGTTGAGGTGTTGGAGTTTTTATAAATTCTAGAGAGAAGTCCCTTGTCAGTTATGTCACTGGAGAATATTTTTTCCCAATCCGTAGGTTCTTTTTTCATTCTTGTAGAGAGGTCTTTGGAAGCACATAAAAATTTAATTTTCAGAAGGTCTCATTCATCTAGTTTATCTTCTGCTGTTTGTGCATTTTGAGTTATGCTTGATAGTCTACTTATGCCATACAGTGTTGTTGTTGTTATGTGCCGTCAAGTCGGACCCAACTCATAGCGACCCCTCCTTGGGTTTCTGAGGCAATATCACTACAGAAGTAGATTGCCCAACCTTCCTTCCAAGGACTGGCTGGTGGGTTTGAACCACCAGCCTTCTGGTTAGCAGTCAAGTGCCTTAGCCACTATGCTACCAGAGCTCCTTATGCCATACACAGTAGAGTCCCCAGATTTGATCCTATTTTTACCTTGAGGAATTTTATGGTGTTAGGTGTCATGGTCCCCAAATTTTTGTGTCATCTTCTGATGATTTCTATTTTCTACTATTCAATTAATTGTTATTACTACTTTTTCTTCTCTAGCTTCATAATTTTCTCCAAAGAATTTATGTAAATGGAAAATATGATGCACTCGAGGTTGTAAAAAAAAAAAAAGAGTTGGTTTTTTGTTATTTTCTATCTTGTCTGTTTGATTTCACTATGGGTTATATTCAGAAGCTAACTCAGAAGTGTAGTTTATGGCCTAAAGCAGAAAATTGCTATTCACTGAGTCAATAATCAATACATTTTAAATAGTTAATAATTAAATCTCTATTCATCAGATCTACAATTAATATAAAATTTTAGTTTTTATTCAATGGATTCCCACTCCAGTTAAGATCAAGTTATAAGGATTGCATTTCTTCTCCCATATGAAACAACAGAATGATGGGCAAAATGCATGGATTTATAGTTTTCAATATACTAGATGTCAAGCAATGAAGGAGACTAAAGCCTAACAGCTATGAAATAATGTGAATACCCCTCATTTGTCAGCTATCTTCTTACCCAATGTGTCACATTTACAATAGTAAAAAAATCTGTACAACTGTTTTGTTCACTAACAACATATATCTGGCAGTAACAAATGCTGAGGTGTGATGCAAGAATAACACTGGCTATGTTGGTTAAGTTTGTGTGTCAACATAGCTGGGATATGATTCATAGGGTTTGGCAGTTAATGTAAGGATATAACCTGGCAGTTATGTGATGATGTAATTTGTTAGTTGTGTAATAATGTGGTCTTCCTCTATTTTCACATAACTACCTAATCTCTGGAACCTAACCATGTTGGTAAGTGAAGAAAGAGTGGGTGTACTATGATTGTCCTAGCTTACTGCCTGGAGGAGTTTTGAGGGCACAGAACAAAGAGGGGGAACCTAAGTGGACCCAGTAGAAACTCTGTAGCAAAGAGATGGAGCTAAGCATTGGACAGACTAAGATGGCTAGAAAGTGTAGGTCATAGATTCAGAAAAGAGAGGGCTGTGCAGAGAAAAGACTCCAAAGAACTTCAGAAAGTACCCCCTTGAGTATTCAGCAGAGTATTGATCAGTGCACATGTGTGAGGAAACTACCTGAGGCTATGAAAAGAGCTACATGAAAAGATTAGCATAATAATGTCCTGTGCTCACCCAGACTGGAACAGTGACTATTCCCACCAGCCAGACTGGAAAACCTCATTTTTCATGGACCATTGGGTAGAGTATACAGAGGTTCTCATCACTGTAAAAAGGAATAGTTCCTAGACTGAGCATTTCCCTATTCACATTTAATGAATCTAAAAAGCTAGATCCAAAAGAATGAAATAATTTCCAAGTAACTTTATTGCATTCCAGAACAAAACTCATGAAGATTTATAGGAAGGCAAAATATCCAACACTCAACCAGGTAAATTTCACAATGTTTAGTACCAAATCATACATGTAAAGAAGTAGGGAAACATGATCTATAATGAAGAGATAAATCAGTCAGTCAATCAGAACTAGCACAGATGTTAGAATTAAGGGAATATAAAATTAAAATAGTCATTCAAACTGTATTCCATATGTTCAAAAATTTAGTAGATATTTAAAAGACTCAAATTGAACTTCTAGGGATGAAAACTATAAGGTGCAAGATAAAAAATCATTGGCATATTAGACATTGAAGGAAAAAAAAATAGTGAACTTGAAGACATAGAAACTATTGAAAATGAAACTCAGAAAGAAAAGAGAAATGAAAATAATGAACAAAGTATCAGTGAGTTGAGGGACAACTTCAAGAAGGCTAATGTAGAAATGGAGTCTCTGAGTTAGATGAAGTGCTCCCTGGTAGTGCAATGGTTAAGCACTCATTGCTAACTAAAAGATGGCAGTTCTTCAAACCCATCAGTGGCTCCAAGGGTGAAAGATGTGGCCATCTACTTCTGAAAAATTTTGCAGCATTGGAGATTCTATGGGGAAGTTCTTCTCTGACCTATAGGCTCCCTGTAAGTTGTAATTGACTTTACAGCAGTGAGTTTGGTTTCTGGTTTTGGTTGAGGAAAACAAGGCAGAGGGGGAAAGAAAGTCAGAAAAAGAGAAGTAAAACATATTTGAGAAAACAATGACCCCTAGTTTTTCAAATTTGATAAAACTGATAAACCCACAGATCCAAGTACCTCAATGAAGCCTCAAGAACAGGAAATAAGAAGAAAAAAAAAAAAAAAAAAAAACTACACCAAGGCTATTAGTGATAAAATGAACCAAAACCATCGACTAAAACAAAAACCTTAGAAGCAGCCAGGGAGGGAGGGGGAAAGGACATGTTGAAAATAAGAATGACGGCAAAGTTTAAATCTGAAACAATGAGAGAACATAGCAGAGCAACAGCTTTGAAGTACTGAATTAAAAATACTAAAACTATGGATTTCTATACCCAGAGTAAACATTTTCAACTATTAAGATGAAATGCTTTTCAGACATCCAAAAGCTGGAAGAATTCATCTCCTGTGCTCTGCGTTACCAGAAATGTTAAAGGAAACCTTACAAGCAGAAAGAAAAGTCTATCAAATAGAAATATGGATTCACACAAAAGAATGAAGACTGCTGGAAAGAGTAACTCATAGATATATAGATGATTTTTTTTTTTTTTTTTAATTAAAATCCTCTTAAATAATTGAGCAGTTGGGATGAGACCTGGACCGGAAGGACGAGGTAAGAACGCGTCCAGCAGTTAAGGGGCAAAGGTTGCCTCATGCTGCCTCACAGGTTGCCTCGTGCTGCCTCCCACAGCGGCTGCCTCCCACTGAGAACGCTGCTCACTCCCAAAAGGCTAGTGGCCTCATGACTCCTCCCCTCCCAACACCGCTGTCGCCTGGGAAACCGCCCAAGCACTGGTGAACCCATCGGTTTCATGGCAGCCCGGAAGAAAGCAGTTGAGGGGCCGTTGGTAGGCGCAGTAGTCCAAGGCACCGGCTCCAGTAGCTTTCTGGTTTTCAATTTAAAAACAGCAGAACTACTTACTCGTTATCAAGTCGAATTAACACAAGATTTCCCACAAGAAGGATGGGTGGAACAAGACCCTAAGGAAATTCTACAGTCCGTCTATGAGTGTATAGAGAGAACGTGTGAGAAACTTGATGAGCTTAATATTGATATATCCAACATAAAAGCTATTGGTGTAAGCAATCAGAGGGAGACCACTATAGTCTGGGACAAGTTAACTGGAGAACCTCTCTACAATGCTGTGGTGTGGCTTGATCTAAGAACCCAGGCTACCGTTGAGAAGCTCAGTAAAAAAATACCAGGAAATAGTAACTTTGTCAAGTCCAAGACAGGTCTTCCACTTAGCACTTACTTCAGTGCAGTGAAACTTCGTTGGATGCTTGACAATGTGAGAAAAGTTCAAAAGGCTGTTGAAGATGGTAGAGCTCTTTTTGGTACAATTGATTCATGGCTTATCTGGAGTTTGACAGGAGGAGTTAATGGAGGTGTCCACTATACAGATGTTACAAATGCAAGTAGGACAATGCTTTTCAATATTCATTCTTTAGAATGGGATAAAGACCTCTGTGATTTTTTTGAAATTCCAATGGATATTCTTCCAAAAGTCTTGAGTTCTTCTGAGATCTATGGCCAAATGAAATCTGGGTCCTTGGAAGGTGTGCTGATATCTGGGTGTTTGGGGGACCAATCTGCTGCATTAATAGGACAAATGTGCTTCCAGGAAGGACAAGCAAAGAACACCTATGGAACAGGCTGTTTCTTACTATGTAATACAGGTCGCAAGTGTGTGTTTTCTGAACATGGTCTTCTGACCACAGTGGCATATAAACTAGGCAAAAACAAGCCAGTAGTTTATGCATTGGAAGGTTCTGTTGCTATAGCCGGTGCTGTTGTTCACTGGCTGAAAGACAATCTTGGAATTCTAGAAACCCCTGAAGAAATTGAAACACTTGCTAAGGAAGTAGGTACTTCTTATGGCTGTTACTTCATTCCAGCATTCTCAGGGTTATATGCACCTTATTGGGAACCCAGTGCAAGAGGGATCATCTGTGGTCTCACTCAGTTCACTAATAAATGTCATATTGCTTTTGCTGCATTAGAAGCTATTTGTTTCCAAACCCGAGAGATTTTGGATGCCATGAACCGTGACTGTGGAATTCCATTCAATCAGTTACAGGTAGATGGAATAATGACTAACAACAAAATTCTAATGCAACTGCAAGCAGACATTCTGCATATTCCAGTAGTAAAGCCCTCTATTACTGAAACAACTGCACTGGGAGTTGCCATGGCAGCAGGAAGTGCAGAAGGAGTGGGCATTTGGAGTTTTGAAAATGACAATTTGTCAAACATCATGGGGGAACGGTTTGAACCACAGATCAAGGCCACAGAAAGTGAAATTCGTTATGTTACATGGAAGAAAGCTGTGATGAAGTCAATGGGTTGGGTTACAACTCAGTCTCCTGAAAGTGGTGACAATATCTTCTCTACTCTGCCCTTGGGCATTTTTATAGTGAGTAGCATGTTAATGTTAATTGGAGCAAGATACATCTCAGGTATCCCATAAAATATCACTCATGGGTTCCCAAGATACAAGCTTTTTAGCATAAGAACAGAACCCAGAAATTCTGTCTCTTCATGTGATGATACTATTACAGACTATGATTTTGCTTATAAATCACATGCTGCATAACCAAAGAGAATCCACCAAGTAAATATGTGACTTTAAATAAAGAAAACAGCAGAAAATGCTATAGAAACATATGGTGTGGTTTTTTACGACAGTCTGGCCACCATTTTTGGGGCCGACTCCTGTCATTGCCACAATATCTTGATTAAGATTGAGAAAGAATTCAAATTCTATCCATGGAATCTTTCATCGAACATATCCTAATACTGATATATTAGTATATATATATAAGAAAGACAGGAA